GGTTGTCATGTTTGTTCAATGCATATGACCTTGTGAGTACACTATGAAATGACCTACAAGAAGTGTCACAACTTACAGCATTTTTTGTGTGAAATACTTTGATATGTGGAAAAACAAAGACAGACACAGCTTTTGAATTTTGGTAATAGTCAATCTATTTTAACTGCTTCAAGCGAAAACACTGCAAACAAGTCAGAGAATCTGAAACTTTGGAATCATAAAATAAGCAGTGTGTGTGCATTCCTCTGCTCATCATCCTCTATCCTCAAGCCTATACCATGGATAACCCATCTCCTCCCCCTAAACCCCCACCCCCCCAGCAAGTACAACAGAGCAGCAGTCTCTCTGATAAGACCCAATCCCCATCCCTGCATGCCATGATATCCCTGTTCCATCTGATGCTATCTCTGTAAAATAGGATGTTATCAGCATCCAAGATGATGCTATCACCATACAGTGTGAAGATATTGGATTCTAATTCAGAGCTTCCCCTGCCTGGACAGAGAAATGTGAGGCTCTGCAGGCAAAGCCAGTCCATCTGTGCCTTATTTTCTGAGAGGGATCGAGTGCAGCTCTATGCTTGGTGGTTCTTGCTGTGTTGGCCCCCAGGCCAGAGTTGTCACAGTACCTGCTCATGCTGTAAGCTTTAATGAGGACAGGAGAAGAAGATGATTGAGAGTCAATTACAACCTCATGTTGGAGAGTAACACTATTTCACCTTTCATTACACCTCAGTGCCATGGGCTAACTGGGTCCCATCAGTTAGTGAAAGGTAGTCATGTTGAGAAGGCCATGCTGAGGTAGATCTGGTGTGAAACAGTAGACATTGGAAAATATTAGACGAGGATCCGTAGTAGTCAAACCGGCCCTTTCCTTTAAGTTATTCCACATCAGAACCATAACATTTTGTTTTATTAGACAGGTTTTACCACTCCTGTTAAAACAAGGCAGTAAAAATGGTTAAATAGACAAGCTTTACGTCTTTAGATTTGAGTTTGATACAAGTTGTTTCTGTCATGTTGTATGAAGAAAATGTGCATACTTTAGACAGCAGTTTACTATCTGTACAAGAACGGTCTCAGTTGGGTTTATCTTTGGATAGAAAAAAATATTTTTATGGATCTCAAATAATCTTTAATTTATCAATATCATGTACCTTATTTGTTTATTTCCAATATAAGACAAAGTTTGTTGAACTCCTTTTTTTATGTGCGCAGCTTGATTGTTTCACAATAGACTGTGTACTTGGAAAAATCACACGACAAAAAAAGACAAACACATCTGGAAAAAAAAAAATAAAAAATCAACAAGAAAATTTTAGCTGGAGTTTAAAAGAAATAAAAAAATAAGAATTGGCTGGATGCTGCACTGTAAGAGACAAAATGTTTAAATTGAAATTTTTATTGTTTTATACATAGATTGATTATGTTTATTAAAATATAGCTCACAAATCAAAACTAGCAATGGTGTCAGGTTGCTGTCAACATCTGAGTAACCAAACAAGATTTTGATTTAAAAAAAAGTAAATGTTTTGTACAAATCTTAACAAGGCAGGGCTGTACAGGGCAAGTGTTTTATTTGCATTCGCTCCCAAATAAATTTTTGCAAATAGGGGGAAAAAAAATAGCAACACTTGTTCGTGCATGTGCAGATTTCTCCCCTCCTAAAATAAGTCAGGCAGGATTTAATTTAGTTTTTTTTTTTTCTTAAAAGACGAATAGATATCTAACGGAAACCAGTTCCAAAAAGTAAAATGTTTAAATTTGTATGGCAAGAATACTTAAGGATCTGGTTAGGAGACATCTCATTTACCTTACAGATTTCTGGCAGCGACAACCAGTTTGTCACAATAGTTTGAGTTCACAGCTCACGATGTATATTCTCACACTGTGTGACCCGACGCTCTGATGCAATCTACCTGCTCACACTGTACGTCTAAAAACAACATCGGACTTAACTCTGGAGTGAGATGACACTACTGGGACTCATCTATCTAGAAGCCAAACGAATAGAAGAGGAATATGAAGCTCACTAGAGAGAAACGTGCTGCCTTGGCAATTTGTGCAATTTTGTGCTGAAAGCCTTAAAAAGAAAAAGTGACGACGTATCTGGACGAAGACATGGCTGAGCAAACGTGGCTACTATGGTCTGTCAATATTAAAGAAAGAACCTCATTTCACTCGCATCCTCGCCATGCCTTTGTGTTTTCATCTGAGAGGAAGAAGAGGAATTTTTGTTTGCACCATGACAACCGACTGAAAATCAAACATGTTTGATTTTCCCCCAACCTCACAAGTCCTGATCAGGTGGTCGTGAGAGGCTGATCACCCCTCGTTACCCCCTGTACTCTACACGACGCACGATCAGGCTGAAAGTCGGCTCGATCGAAAAATTCTTGCACGACTGGCAAAATAATCATACGGTATAAGCTCGGATTTACTGTTCTCATCATCATGAAAGGCAGGCTCCCTGAAATTCTAGCAGAGAGAGAACCCAACCTGCCGATACCCTAACTTACAGTAGATGAGCATAACAGTCGTTGAAATTGTGTTTTTAAACACATCAACCTCGTTATAGCAGAGAGCAAGCTTAAACAAAAGCTCCCACCTCAACGCTTATGTTAAAATGTTTAGAGATACAATGAAAATGTGCCGATACTCTTAATTTTAATTAGCATAATGGCCACAGAAACTGTTTTTTAAACACATTTTCCTCCTCCCTGCCAGATAATTATGAAGGAAGCGCTATAAAACCCTGCGCCGGACTGCCATCAGTTCACTGAGGCAGGACAGCACTGTGTAAAGTCAGTATATTTAGCGTTTTCTCACATTTGTTTTTTGATGTTTTTAAATGACTAGTGACAAAATCTAGAAACCATTTCCTGTCTTGTTGGAGACTTTGGTGACTACACATGCACTAAAAGCTCGGAGTTTAGTGTCTTCAGCAAGTAGTGAGCGAGCGAGCCCCTCCCTCCTGCAAAACACTGCAACTTCAGCCCACTTCTGCAGTCAGATGGAGGAGAGAGACTCCTCTGTGTCTTCATTGAACATTAGCAAAGACGCTCTGAAAATTAAGACTAGTAGTGATAAGCTGTGACTAGGACAGTCTAGCCCTAAGTAGCAGTCCTGCACGCTCACCTCAGCATAACTTTGGTTGCTTAGCAACCGTGCAGCATGACGCATTGAACTATGAAGTCTGAACATTATCTTTTTTAACATCATTCGTTCTGATAGCTGTATTATCTGTAAGAGAAAAAAAAAATCTTAGGAAAGCAACGGTTAAGGTAATTCCTCTATAAATGATTATGTAGATGAGGATAAGGAATCTGTATTTTTTTTTCTAATGGGAGATGTCGGCAAACAAGAAAAGCCTTTAGCATTTTGTTTTTTAATGATTTTAAGCAAAATGACTAACACTGTTATTGGTTTAAATGATTTTGGATCCAACTTTTGCTTTAGTTTGAGGACAGCCTTATATTGCAAAGGGCAGTTGTCATGATGGGTGCACGGAGAGTGACCCAATTATGCAGAACACCACTAGACGGACACAGGAGTAAAGGTTTAACAAGTTTATTTGGTCACAAGCACACTGATATGACTGGTTCTGGTTCGGGCCTGGAAACTGGTTCACCGGAGTCTGCGTGAGAGACAGTTCAGTTAGCGTTGCACTTTGGAGCTTGCTTTCTTGATTGTTACAGATTGTACCTTGAAGGTTCTTGTAGATAGCTTTGAGAGGGTCACTGTTGGATCTGGAGAGGAGTTTATAAGCAGAGTCCGCAAGCTGCTTCAGCGTCTTACTTCTATTTTTGAGCAGACCTTGGCTTTGAGTTTTCCAGCTCTTAGTCCTGAGCTGCATGGAAGTTCACTGAGGTTCTTCAGGTTTGGCTCTGAGGGTAGGCTCGGCAGGTTAGCTCTTCCTGAGCTCCACAGAGGAGAAACTGGTTTCCTNTTCTAATGGGAGATGTCGGCAAACAAGAAAAGCCTTTAGTATTTTGTTTTTTAATGATTTTAAGCAAAATGACTAACACTGTTATTGGTTTAAATCATTTTGGATCCAACTTTTGCCTTTAGTTTGAGGACAACCTTATATTGCAAAGGGCAGTCATGTAGTTCGATGTTTGTGACTGTAAGCTCAAATTCGAAAAATGACTAAACACAAATTATTACCCATGTTAATTTACATTTAAAAATAAAATTGTGCTATTCAATAAAATCCATAATACCCCTCATTTTTTGTTTGCTGCTCCTTTTTTTTTTGTTTTTTTTTGTTTTTTTGCTTCGTTTGGGAGCACTTGTGCTCCTAGTCAAAAGCCAAGCAGTTTTTTTTTTTAGAAAAGCTATACCATACATATTCTTCCAGCATATTTTAATCTATTCATTGTGAACTTCTGGGGATGTACAAAGTTATATTGTATGAAATACACTTAGCTGACCAAGACAACATCGTATGGTCATACAAGGTCTTATAAGATTAAGTTTTGAAAGGTTAAGATTAAGAATACAGCCACTCTTTAAGTTTTTGTTTCAACCTTTGTTTCTGTCTCAAGTTTTTATTAGGGTTGGAGAAAACACAGCCAGACTGATCATGTGTAGCATTCAGATTTAGTGTTACATATTACTGTATCAATTTGGGACTTCTATGATTGTATTTGCTTGGAGTGAGGAAAGAGCCAAACAAATTACACAGGAGCAGACACTATGATAACCCACAACAGTTTAGGCTTTTATGCTCATGCTGTTTCTCTTTTAAAGGTTAAATTCTGAATTCTGACAAAACCGATGTGATGGCAGCAGCTGTGCATATGTCCTCCTTGGCTGCCCTGCTTATTATGATTCGTTTGTGGGTTTTGCAGCTTCTGCCTTTATCACAGCTCTATATCCCGCCCTTAGACATGACAATGCAATGTGATTAGTTGGCCCATTTGGATTCTGTTTTGAAAGGTAAAAGCGAGACTGGATGAGATGAACTTTTGTGTTTTTGAATGCACAGATACCGTGAGAATGGAACTCACTGGCAAGGTTAGTTTTTACCATATCCTTGCTTATTTTTAATAATGAATATTGGATGTAGTGTGGGCAAAGTGCTGCCTAAATCCATAGCTGTATGGAAAGCCAAAAGGCTCAAAATTTAAATAAATCTAAAAATTTGTATGAAATCAAGATCTACTCGAATAAATAATACATAAATATTTTAAATGTGGCAATGAAAATGTGAAATAATCCAATGCAGCTAAAATTTTCAGAGCATTACTATGAATTTATTTTATAATAATAAAAAATTGTATTACATTTGAAAATGTATCCCAATAATATATTTATTTTTTTAGTCATTGCAGTTTTTCTTTAAAAATCTGCCATCAAAAAGTCAGGTTTTATATCATAAAAATGTTTTTCCCCATTGCCTTTTGAATTTCATGATGACACTTTGAACCTGAATGTCCGTGTTGACCAGTCATCATCAGTGGGTTTGTCCTGAACCCCCATTGGCAGATCCCAGACAGTGACTTGTCTTCCTTAGGGTGTCTGACTGCCTGCTTGGTCAGCTAGCAACAACTAGCTTGGTGGAGTTTCATCAACATAAAACCATCATTGGGTGGATGGGTGTCAGAATACACCATTTTCAAGAGCAATGCTGCATTTTTGAACTGATTGGGATATTAGTTGCTCTTCATCATGTTAACATTGATGAAGCTGTGGTTGTCAGACCCACTAAGCTGCTTCTGATTTGGCTATTCCAAGTTTTTTTTACTCCCCTAAAGCATTTTTAATTGTTTAAAATGTAGCCGATAAATAAAAGAAAACAACAAAATAAATCCTTTTCAAGTGTTTTTTTTTTTTGTGTGTGTGTGTGTGTGTGTGTGTGTGTAATAATGTGTAATTTGACAAGTTTGAATTACAACTCAATTTAGATGTATCCAGGCAACAGTTACTAGAGCTGATAAATTAAATCATATTTAGACAAAACTGATCTTTTGTTAAATTTTAAGGGAAGTCATTTTGCAATATTTCTACATTTCTTTGCATCAAACTAAACATTGCAAAAAAGTACTAAAACATAGTATAACCGAGGTACAAGTTATAGGTGTTCTCTTAGATCCTTAATTTGTATATATTATATTGTGAACTTTTTTTTGTTGCGTGGCCTTACCATCATCAAGTAATACAATCAAAACTTGAAAAAAAAAAGGTTTAAAATAATTTTCTAGGTCTCATTTGTTTACACAAAATTTCATTTGTGTCCTTGATGAACTACTTACCCTCTGTAACAGAAGATAAGTACTTCAAATAGATTTTGGAAATGATTTCTGTTGCTCTTTCCCTCTCAGATCCGATGGACGAAGACAGCTGGCAGCGTGTCAGATCGCTTCCAGGACTCCAGTGTGTTCAACGATACATTGCACATTGCAAAGATTCAGAGGACACAGGGGGGTCGTTATTACTGCAAGGCGGAGAATGGCCTTGGTTCTCCAGCTATCAAGTCCATCCGAGTGGACGTCTATTGTAAGTTCTGATTTCTGCGGCTGCTTATCTACTTTAGTCTCTGTATTTTATGCCAAAATGCAAGTCATTATTTAAAACATGTAAAGATATTTTAATGTCAGGTGCATTTGGTTATATGTGCTTAACTCTAAAAAAATATTTTTTTTACCATTTATTTTGGGTTACGAGGATCTCAGAAGAGAAAGAATAGGTTAGGTGCTCATACTTAGTTGCTGCGACCTTTAAATCATGTTCATGTTAAACACAACAAAGTGCCCCTATTAGCAGTAAATAAACATCAAGATTGGAAGCACTTTTATCAGATTAACAATTTTAGCTTATGGCTGCGTAGTGTTTTGTTTCAATATAAAATGAAAGAGTATATATTCAGGGTGAGGACATCAACAAAGACCCTATAGCATTACTTAGGATATTGATCAAACCCTGGCCATATGTGTGACATTTCAATTTCATATCTTTATGGAAAACCAAATGGTTTCATCAGCATTTGCTAAACAAAACAGTGATTTGTGGATATTGTTTTATTGATCTGGCATCCATTCACCTATTTCACCTTAACAGCTAAGACTATGGAGAGGTCGCCTCATCTCACGCAAACCTATCTTCTTTGGCTGTTTGTTCAGAGACAGCCAAACCCAAGAGTTTATACACAACAAGAAATATGTAGGCGAGCTATAATTATTTGCAATAAAAAAATGCTTTAACCATCTCAGCTTTAAGAAATTCTCCTTGTATCCATTTCAAATCATATGCCTCATCTTTAAAAACATCTCTGAGCTTCCTCCCTAATCTTTCACCGCTTCTTCTCTTCCTCCACAGAGATTCTTGTTCTAAGTTTTTATACCAAACTACTTGGAAAATAATCATGTGTCTTTGATGAAAGCTCAGAGCTTAATTTGCTGCCAAATATGTTAGAGATAGAGGGAAGGAAGAGGCACTGGAGCGATGATATATTTTACGTATGTTGTTTCCAGTAAAACTTGTATTCACTTGAATGTGAGTGATCGAACACAGGTCTGTACTTGTGGAAAATTGCTATGTTTAATTCATTACATACAGTTTGAGATAATTTTTGCCTTTGGTTTGAAAAACAAGAAACATGCCACTGTGAGATTCTGATAGTAACCTGGAGTATGGAGAATATTTTCATGTCAGCAGCTGAACATGTTTAAAAGATATCTGTATCCGGATCACATTCGTTTAATTTTAAAACAAAAAAGTTACATTAGGAAGTTTAGTGTTTATTACTGCACAAAATAAAATCAGTACATTTTATCCTACTATAAAATGTTTACTAGCTGGGAGAAAAAAAAAAACAAAAAGAAAAAAATTAGTCAGTCTTGTGTATTTGATAATGTCAATTAGGATTCCTTATTATAAATAATAAAGAATGATAAATAATTCCTATCAACATTTAAAGGGAAACATTGCAATATTGATACATGATGCAATATCTGTATATATAAATGTATTACTGTAACTGTACTTTTTTTCCTGTCTACCCTTACAGAGTTACACTTAAGTATTATTGTAATATGATACTTCGGAATCGATTTAAATAGTGAATCTGGAGAAAATGCCAATTTTAAGCATGGTATGAATAGAAATGAAAGATATGTAGCTGTTTCAAACTTTGGTAAACCTTGGTCCTCAAACGCCTCTGTATTTCAGATGCCCTCATTATTGGTAGAGTCATTAATCTTTGTGTTTTTAGTAGTTTTCTTATTGTGTTCAGTAATATAGTTTACTAGAACTTTGTCCATATGAAATTCTTTAGGTCTCTGCTCCTCTTGCCAGAGGCAAAAGCTGCTAAGTATGTTGCTCCAATTTCAACCATAAAGAAACAAAAACTGATCTCTGTTGTTATAATGTAATTTAGGGTCCATTTTCACAAAATTTTTCTTTTCTTAAAAATAGGAAATTATTTTCAGTGCTTTTTTAGTTGCCCTCTTTCCCGACTTTTCTCATCCATGCCCCTGTCTTATCTCCTACCTATGTGTACAAAACACTTTTCTCTACCAGTTTATTTGGACTGACACTTGGGCAAAGGTTGAGCCTTGTTTAGAATTGCTTGTAGATCGCCCCGGTTGGTCTAGGCAATAGAGGCTAAAAGGATCTCTGCAGGTGACCATCAACACTTTGTCCTTTCTGTGCACCAGTTTACCTTGGCTTTACTAAGAAGCTGGCATCAACAAGAAGAACAAATGACCAAATAAAGTCATCTCTCATGATAGACCATCTGTGGGATAGAAACAATGGTTTCTAAAGGAGCCTCATCATCCAGCATTTGTAGTTTCCGTGCTGTAATTGACAAACTCATTATCCTTGTTAGCTGGATGCCAAACCTCCATTGTGTTATAGCCCTCTATTGTCTCTAGATATTTGTTTTCTGTAATGTCTGCGTATCTAATATGTACATAAACATTAGAGAAATAAAACAAAATCAGAGATATATGCTGAACAGTAGTGGAGATTTTCTTTATCTGTATGCAGATAAATTATAGAAATATAATAAGAGCATTTATTATTTACAAAGATTGATGACAGGTTATAAAGTTGTTCTACTATTTTCTTTCTGAATCTATAAAAAGAGTATTGCATCCATATATTCTTTAGTATGAAATTCTACATTCCACTCCACACGATCTCCTTGAATTTTCGTCTGTGTTTTATTGGAATTGTGTTGTTTCCCCATCCAGCGGAAGAACATTATTCCCACAAAGCAATGTAAAAGCTGTCCCCTGAGGGGGAATTAAATTGATGGACCTCGCTAGCATGTGCTATTTTTAGTGAACTGCAACTTCAACATTTTAATTAGCTCAAAAACTGGCATTGTGCTACTGGATCTCTTATCAACAATACCTGTCATTATGTTTTCAGAGTTTTTCCAGCCTTGCATGAATAATGTTTGTTATTTTATTGAGAAAATGTTATACTCTCCATAGACAAGCACAGTGTGCCACCATGTTTTACATTAAGGAACCCCCCTCTGTTAATACTGATAGTATGCTGCTATTAATTTCATTTATCTCCTCTGGACAATATTTATTCACTCCTCCTTTTTTAAATCAATCTTCTTGATTATGTTTTGCCAAATTGAACACTGGAATGATATAAAAGAAATTATTTAAACTTTAATTAGATCAAATGGGCATTCTAAACCTCTTTCCTGTTTTAAAAAGGGAACATCTTATCAATTAACACAACTGACTTCATGAATAATGTACAGTGTCTTATAAGAGCCTTGTTACAGCACCCTTTGAAATTTTTGTTTGCATTTTGTGATCTTGCAATTATAAACCTATCGGGATTTCAGGTGATAGACAAAGTGCATAGTTCTTAAGTTGCAGGGATAGAATATGTGGGCTGTTTACCTTTGTGTCTTACACAGGGTATCTGGTGTTCTAAGTGAGTCTTAGTGCATATTTCCATAGGCAAGATTGCATTTTAACCAGAATATGCTGCTTCATTTTTATACCTTTACATGAATTTTGGCAAATTCTGGCAGGCCTTTTTCCTACCACATAAACTGCTGTGTGGATTGCACAACTAATATGTGTCAAATTCTCTTACATGCTGTAAATAAACAGAGTATGGCCTGTTTCTATAGGTGGGCAACTACTATAAATCTTTCTGTATACAGTTGTGCCATTATATTGTAATATGTATAAAAGATAAAAAACCTTAAAGCTTTAGATTTTTATCTAAAATCTAACCATTTTACAGCTTTCTAGAATTTTCTTGACGTTCTTGATATTCTTTTTGAATTGGTGATGGTGTTTATTAAATTATGCGCTCCAGCAAACATCCAAAGCTTTGATAAACCAGCTGTTTTTTATGCATACATCCAAATATACATCAATTAGCTTCAGAGGATTTGATTTATGTTGCTGTATTAGAATAAAGGAGACTGAAAAGAAATTACAAGCTTTAAGATGTTTTTTTCAAAAGCAAATGATGAATGCATTGTGTATGTCTATATAACTATTTATTGGATCAATAAAAACAGGAACTTTACCTCGGAGTTTTTCTGTAAGCTATCCTCTGTAAGCCATAATTAATAAAAATAAGCTATCCTGCCAGCCTGAGGAGCTGATCTTAGCTATATACCAAGCTCAGAGGTAAGGTATTTACAAAGCTCAGAAATCCATCTAAGCACATTTTATACCTGCTGACACCTCAGTTGTGTTTGTCTACAGTTAGGTCCATGGGAAAGGTCCTCTGCAAAGTTAATAAAGCACGCTGCCCAACTCCTACACAGATCGATGTTTGGCTTAAGAAACTCTCCTCTTTTTCTTTTATTAGGAAACCTTTTCAGTGTTCTCATTTAATTTAAGATGCATTAATTTTGCTGCAGCATCTAATGTTTCATTGAGTGAGCAATCGAGGTGAGCTTAAGGGTTCTGTTGGGGCTCCTTATTGCAGACACAGAGGGTTCATTGACCAACACAGAACACAATATATCTAAGAGAGATCTGACCGGAGGAGAAAATGTCAACAGAAGTGGCCAAGGGAATAACACATTGGTGTTTGGGAACTAATAATTTCAGTCCACAGTAGATTGATTAACAGAGTTTAACAATAAGAAGTAATAATCATATATACATATATAACCTGGAGATATATATATATATATATATATATATATATATATATATATATATATATATATATCTCCCTCCGAGATAGCAAGAAAATAGCAAGAAAGACTGCCACAGCTAAATACCTACAAAGAGTAAGGCAGGTCCTGAAAAGTCAGCTGAATGGGAAAAACAAGATCCAAGCCATCAACACATATGTCCTGCCAGTCATCAGATACCCCGCTGGTATAATAAACTGGCCAAAAGAAGAGATATGTCTATAGCAGAAGTCAGGGATTGGCTGACTGCGGTCCCAATCCGGACCCACCTGCTGGCTAATCCGGACCCAGCCTGATCAAAAATTTTTATAAATTACTGCATGTTGTCAAACGCAGTGTTTAATTTCACTTGCGCTGCTTC